AGGCATTATTTGGCCAGAGGAGAATACACTGGGGTTACAATGGGGTTCTTATTCCTGGAAGCTCTGCCCCTCTGAATGCAGCCAAAAATCTCATTAGCTTTTCTGGCTGACCCCTGACTCGTTCCGAGCTTGCAGTCCACTTAGACTTCCAGATCTTTTTCAGACAAACAACTGTCCAACTATGCTTTTCCCCCATCTGTTGTTTGTGAAGTTGGTTTTTTTAACCCAAGTGTAAGATTTTACAGTACTTCCCTACTGAATGAGTTCATCTTATTGGATCTCGTCCAGTGCTCTAACCCATCAAGATCCTTTAGGATCATCTACTGTGTTAGTTATACCTCCCACTTCCATGTCATCTGCCAATTTGTTAGCATGCCATCCATCCATGCCTCTCAGTAATTGACAAAAATGTAAAGCACAGGGCCAGGCACAGATTCTTGGGGCACTCCACTAGAGACCTCCTGCCAAGCTACCATTGCACCATTAATGACTACCCCGAGTCTGGCCATCCAACCAGTTTGGAATCCATCTAATTGTAAAAATTCATCTCTCTCCATGTTCTCCACAAAGCTAGTAGGAGATATGTTATCAAAAGTTTTGCTGAAATCTAGATAAAACTGTTCCCAAGAGTTATCAGGCAAACTGGTTTGTACTGGTTTGCTAACCCTGTCAAAATAGGAAATGAGGTTGTTCTGGTATAACCTGTGCTTGACGAAGCCAGGCAGCCTCTTTGTAATCTTTGCTTCCTTTTCTAATATTTGCCAACCACCTCTTTAATGATCCCTTCTAGAATTTTCCCAGGAAATGAATTTAAGCTAACTGAACTACAGTTGGTAGACTCTGTTCTCTTTGCTTTCTTGGAAAAATTGAATCTTCCAGTCCTCCTCACCTGTTTGCGACACTTTTTCAAACATCACTGGTGGTGTCTGATCAATCACATCTGTCAGGTCTCTGGAAAGCTGCAAATGTGACTCATTTGGGTACTTGGATTCATCAAAGTGTAGCATATACCAGGGCTATTCTCTCCCACCCCACCACCACTTGCCCTGAAAGCTTGGGTCCCTAAAAGGAAGATACTATGTTTCCCCTCTGGATTCTAGTGGTAACCTAGAAAAGTTGGAGGACAGTTTTTATAATACCGCATGAGTCCCCACTAGTGTACTCACTTCCGTTATCACTTAGCAGAGTATATAACACAAAGTAAACACTTAAATGTTTATTGCCTCGACTGACAACTTTCAAAGACTTCTAAATTGACCAAGGACTTTTTGCATCTCAGTCTGATTTATTGACTGATTCAACAAAAATTTTATATCTTATTCACACCTAGTTCGTATCTCTTACTGATTGGCTCATTGGAGATGTCCTTATCATATCTGGGTATCAAGGAGTACCATCTTGTGGGCACTTTAACTGGGCTGGGTTGATTCAATTGATCCATTCAATGGACCCCCACCCTTGCAAAGGGCAGCTACATGCACCCTATCTCCTTATTTATCTTGGGCAACTCCCTATGAATCATTTCTATTTTGTCATTTCTGGAACAAAGGTCATTCTCTTGGACAGAGGAAACTGAAGGAAAATTAGAATTGAGCAGCTGTCTTCTGTCTCTGTGGTCAGATATCCTAGGTAGTGGTCCTATCTTTTCTTTGGGTCTCCCCCCAAATATACCCCACCCCCCAAACCCTCTCAACAACATTTGGTGTCCTTAGCTTCCATCACGAGCCTCAGCTCATTCTGAGCTTTAGCATTCATAATCTGGTCTTTGCAGGACTGTGCCATGATCTTATTTTTATCCTGTTACTTGCCATCTTTTTATATATGGGGGACGTGTCAACAGGAGGCCCACCCTTAGGGCATGTGCAATGGCTCCTGCTGGCCAGCAGACTGTGTGGCGAAGCTCGGTGAGCTCCAGGAAGAGCCTGATAATACAGAATGGAGGGCTCCTGCTCACCCTTTCAGAGCATATGCAGATATTCTGTGACTATTCCCAGCCTGCTAACCATATAGAAAAGAAGTGGACTTTTAATTGGTTGCTAAGCCAGCAACTAATGCTGAATGGTCATTCAAGTGACCAAAGGAATCTGTTTCTCTCCGCCTGAAGGCTTACAGCAGTCCTTGCCTCCTTACCTGAATAAGGTTGTCTGGTCATTTCAGTTGTGTCTGACTCTCTGTGATTCCATTTGGGGTTTTCTTGACAGAGATACTGGAGTGCTTTGCCATTTCCTTCTCCAGCTCATTTTACAGGTGAGGAAACTGAGGCAAACAGGGTGAGGTGACCTGCCCAGGGTCACACAGCTAGGAAGGGTCTGAGGTGGGATTTGAACTCAGGAAGACTATCCTCCTGACTCCGGGCCTGTCGCTCTATCTACTGCATTACCACCTAACACATATCCCAGAAAACCACCACACGTATAAACCCCGGAGATCCTTGACGCAACTCCCACTGGCACTGGTGAATCAGGTTCCCCAAGAGCCTGCTAGCGACAAGGCTCTGGGGGTTCTCCTAACAGGCAGTGAAGTTCTTCTGGTGCTCTTGGCTCAATCTCTATCCTGGTATGTTCCCACCAATATTAATGTTCCAGTTTCAGTTAACCAATTAACAATAATTAGCTGTTTCAAAGGGATATTGTCTAAGAAGATATATAGCAGTGATACAAGTATTAACATTCTCTCCCACCCATATCTGGGGGACACACCCTTCTCTATATCACCTTAGTCCCTGAAGAGAATACTCTCCAACCTAAAGCAGTCACTGCAAAACATTCCCTGCCACCAAGTTCACTTCCCAATTCATCATTGCCAGTGTTGAAGAAGAGTCACACCCTCGGGGCTGCCTTTAATCTGCAACCATGCTGGATCTTGAAGGCTGGTTCACCTGCCAGCACGCTGGCGTGGACTTCCATCACTGGACTGTAGGGGGCTCACTCTTCAGGTCTGTCTTTTTTTCTCTTTCTTCCTTTTTTTTTTTTCTTTGCAATTGCAATTAAGTGATTTACCCAGGGTCACACAGGTAGTGTCTGAGGCTGGATTTGAACTCAGTTCCTCCTGACTTCAGGGCCAGTGCTCTGACCACTGTGACACCTAACTGCCCCATCTTCATCTTCTAATGAAAGGGTTGGACAAGATGGCATCTTCCTCATTTTACAGATGAGGAAACTGATGCAAACTGCGTCTGAGGCAGGCCCAGAGCCATCTGGCTCACCAATCAAAGCTCTCATAAGCCAATGTAGGTGACAGGATCAGAAACCCAGATTCTTGGAGTAATAGGGATTTTACAGGGTCCTCTGCTTGGAGACCTCTAGGGACAGGGAGCTCATTACCTTATGAGGCAGGAAGTTAGTCTAAATCTGACTCTTTATTTGTTTGGTCCTTGGGCCCCAACAGTATACCAGAGCCCCACCCAGGAAATACTAATCGAGGTCTAATGAGACACACAGAGACATTTCCAGGTACAGAAACAGACATCTAGGGAGAAGACAGACACAGAAGGGTCAGTGACAATGTTGGGAGAGAGATGTTGGGGCAAACAGTGTCAGACACTTCAGGGACAGAAGGCAGAGGCTCTGCCCCCTCCCAGACTGCTGATCTGAGGCAGATTCAGAGACACCACCTCGGACTTCATCTGCCCCAACCCCATCAGTTCTCACCTTTGCTGAGGATGTGCTAAGGACACCAGAGGCTGGTTTGGGGGCCTTGGAGAACAGGGCTGGAGTGCTGTGCAGGAAGGGGAGCTCCATCCCACCCTGTGTCTGTCTCCCCAGCTAGGCTTCCCTGGCCTAAACCTTGTCCTGCTTGCATCCTCCAAATGCTGCCTCCAGGGGACAGGGTCTCCCTACCCCCCCCCCAGGGCCTTGGCTAGCTATGCTAACCCCGCAGAGGCAAAAGACTCCACATCTGCCTGGGGAGAAGACACCATTCCCAGAGATCCCTCCAGTCCTTTAGACTGAGACAAGCCAACGCAGGGACCATCCGTCTCCCAGGCCACCGGTTGGCCTAATCATCATTCTGAACGTCTAAAGGGCTGGCCTGGGGAAGAGAGAGCACAAGTTCAGCTCAACATAAGGAACAAGCAGAGTTCTGGGGTCTTAAAGTGAGCTTCCTTCAAGGAACTCAGAATTTTCTAAAAAATATTAAGATTTTTTTTTTAATTTGTAAAGTTGAAAAAACAGGTAGTGAGCTCCCCATCATGGGACACAGCCAAGCAAAGGCTGGATGACCTTCTGGTTAGGGAGGTCTTAGGGATTGGCTGCGCTGGGAGGGATCTGAATTCTACAGTCTCTTGGGTCTGGGATTCTTGGAGTGAGGATGTGTGGGGATGGTGCACTCCCTATAACCTGAAGCATTTCCAGAGCTCCTCCAGCCTTCAGGGAAGGAGGGAAGAGGCTGGGGAGGCCAAGAGAGGCTGGAAAAGGAAACCAAGGGGGCGAAGGGCAGGAGCCTTGTCCCTAAAACAAGAACACTAGACAAGGTAGCGCTTACGATCTCTTCCAACCCAACAAGAAATATTTTTTAAGGGTTTATGATGAGCCAGGCATGAGGGGTCAAAAAGTAAACAGCCCACGACACCCCAGCCCTCACAGAGCCTCCATTCTAATGGGGAGACAGTGTAAGACACATGTGGAGCAGTGAGGAGGTAGTGGTAATGGGGCTGGCGCTAACGGCTTGTGGAAGGGCCACGAAGGAAGCCAGAGTCTCGGAAGTGGAGATTAGGAGGGCGAGGAGTCCGGGCAGGGAGCACAGCCAGTGCAAAGGTTCGGACGTGGGAGATGGGCAAAGCACAAGATGGGCCAGGATGGTGGGATGTGTCTGCTCCTGGGATCTAGAACCCTTCCACCCTTTGTTGTTCGGTCATTTCAGTTGTGTCTGATTCTCCATGACCCAAAAGGGGATTTTCTTGGCTAGGATACCAGAGTGGTTTGCCATTTCCTTCTCCAGCTCATTTTACAGATGAGGAAACTGAGGCAAACAGGGTGACATGATTTGCCCAGGGTCACATAGCTAGGAAGTGTCTGAGGCCCGATTTGAACTCAGGATGATGAGTCTTCCTGACTCTAGGCCAGGTGCTCTACGCCCTATGGTGCTAACCTAGGCTCCTACCAGAGCTCTATGGTTCTTCCTTGTCGCCGGCCATCTTCCCATCTGCCAAAATCCAAGCCCATTAAGTGCCACTGGCAGACCACAACTGAGGGCCCAGAAACCCACAGGGTGTATCCTACTGCCCCCCACCAACCATCAATTAATATTAATGAGGGGTGGAACCCCGACTGGAGCATGTCCAGAAGTAGGGCAGCTGACCACAGGTCCATGAGCAGCCACCATTCCTTAGTGATCCTTCTGAGCTCCTCCCCAGGTCCCCCAGAGGTGCCTGGAGATCCCTGGGAGGTAGGCCCCGCCCTCTCCTCAACCTCAAGCTTTAAAGGGCCTCCCCACCCCCCCAGGCCCCAGAGCATCCCCAATGGCCGTTCAGAGGGTGACCATCCAACTGGTGGAGGAGGAAGATGGAGACTTTGGCAGTCCTATCTGCTTCCGTGGGCAGTGTTACCACTCCCTCCAGGAGAGCTGCCTGCAGGCAGGGGCCCTTTTCCTGGACCCCTGCTTCCCTGCTGGGCCACCTGCTCTGGGGTATGACCAGTTGGGGCCCAACTCAGAGAAGGCCAAGGGCGTGGAGTGGCTGAGACCTCATGTGAGTCAGGGCAAGTTGTACCTGAGCCCCGAAGGGTGAAAGGGGAAGCTTGGTCCCTAAGGGGGAGGGGTAGGCACTGGCAGGCTGGGTCCTGCAGGTGACTGGGGGCTGGGGGCCTGGATGAGGCCCTGGGGGTCTGGAGAACTAGATGCCCTGGCCCCTGAGGGGGGTTCCCGATGGGGGGAGAATGTGGGGTCAATAAGCCTAGGCCTTCAGGGGGCTGGGTCCTGGCCAGCCCAGGGCCTCTTTTCCCCATCTCTGCCCCCTCAAGTTTCCTGGGGCCCCACATTTCCTGAAGGCAGCGTTAGGAGGCCCTTTCATCCTGGGGAGGGCAGCAGCATCTCTATCATTAGTCCCAAGAGGAGGCTTCAGGCCTCAGGCTCCTGGCTAAGGAGACCTCAGCAACCGGCTGTAGAGGGGAAGCATCTGGGGAGTGAGACGGCCAGGCCTCGCTCGGGGCTGACGGTTCCTCTCTGCCCCTCAGGAGTTTTGTCAGAATCCCCAGTTCATCTGCGAAGACATGGATCGGACTGATGTGTGTCAGGGCAGCCTGGGTGAGCCTTCCCACCCTTGCCCCACAGACCCTTCCTCACCCCCCCAAATCTCGCCTGCCTCCAAGTCCCTCCCAGGACTCACTGCTGTCCTGACCCTCTCCTGTCCCTCTGACTCCTCCTGCCCCCCTGCCCCCCCAGGTAACTGCTGGTTCCTGGCTGCAGCGGCCTCCCTCACTCTGTACCCTCGCCTCCTCTATCGGGTGGTGCCCCCCAGGCAGAGCTTCCAGTGGGGCTATGCTGGAATCTTCCACTTCCAGGTAAGCAGAGAGGGGGCAAGGGGCAGAAACAGCATCAGCTGATGCACAAAGAAATGATTTACCTCGTATTTAACCACGTAAAACATAGGGATGTGCAAATATATGTAAAACGGACTTACTAGCTCCTCTATGAGGATGTTTCGACAGTCCCTCTAGTTCTAGGCCCCAATGTCTGGGGCCGGGCAGAGCAGCACAACAGGCTTGGGTGGGCTGGGGGGCAGTCATTGGCTGCCCCCTCCCTGGCCCTCTCTTCTCCATAGCTATGGCAGTTCGGTCACTGGGTGGACGTGGTGGTGGATGACAGGCTGCCCGTGCGGGATGGGAAGCTGCTTTTCGTCAGGTCGGCCCAGAGAGCTGAGTTCTGGGCCCCACTGCTCGAGAAGGCCTATGCCAAGTAAGGAATGTCTCCCCCCCTACCCCAAAGAGCCTTGCTGACTGTCAGGGACCTGGCATCTGAAGCTCCCAGGGGTAATATATGGAGACAGCTTCATAAACCGGCTCTGTAAAAGTCTGAGACTTCAAAAACCCAAGCGGCCCAAGCCTGACTATCTCAGAGATTCTCAGAGACCCCAAGAGACTCTCTGGGGACCCTTGTTGAGCCTCAGAAATCTCTAGGAACCTTCAGGATCTATCCCCCAGGATTTGAGAGCCCAGAGCCTCTTCCTGAGGCACACTTGGGTGCGACCTCTGACCCTTGGAGGCCTCAGACACCTCTATGCCCCAAAGGACTCCTGGGACCGTGGGGGACCCATCCCTAAGCATCAAAGTTCCCCACTCCCACCCCAGCCCCAGATTCACCCAACTCATCCCCTCTCTAAAACCCTTTCCCTGTTTGTCCTTCTCCACCCCCCTCCAGGGGAGGGGGGTTGCCTTGGTTTTCCCACAGGCTCCATGGCTCCTATGAGGTGATGCGAGGCGGTCACATGAATGAGGCCTTTGTGGACTTCACAGGCGGTGTGGGGGAGGTCCTGTACCTACAACCAGACACTCCTGTTCTCTTCTCTGCCATCCGGCATGCCCTGGCCAAGGAATCACTTGTGGGGGCCACTGCCCTGGTGAGCCTCCCAGCCCCTGGAGAAGGCAGATCTGAGTCTGCGCACACATGCACACACGTGTGTGCCACACACACACACACACCCTATGGTGGCCCCTGCATGTGCACTCCTCTCCTATGTCTGTCCCCCAAATCTGACATTCTTTCTCTATCTGCTTATCTCATGTTTCATGTTCCCATGTGTCTACTTGACGGGCCTCCGTGTGTGTGTGTGTGTGTGCACGTGTGTATACACGTACACGCACCAAATATCTTCCCCATTTATACCCCTGAGCAGCCCACACATGCCCCCTGCGGATTATTCCCCTGTGTCAATCCTGATCACTGGCCCATGTGTGTCCCCAAATATCTCCTTTTTCCTTGTCTAGGGATAAGGGGAGAGGCCCTGGACCACTGAGCCACACTGCCTCTTTGTTTATGGTCCCACACCCTTATTCATGTTGCCATGTCCACGTCCACATGTGCATGTCTCCCCACCATGGGTGACCCTGCTCGTGTGGCCCATAGATAGAAGGGATCCGAACCCTTCTCTTATGCATACATGTGTCTACCTTCTCCACCTCCTTCCCCGAACATGGCTGGGATGCATTCCCGTTTCCTGTGCTGGACCAATGCTCCTGTGTGTTCTCCCATGTTCCCATATGGCCAGAGTGACCGGGGTGAGTACAAGACGGAGGAAGGGCTGGTGAAAGGTCATGCATACTCCATCACAGGGACCCACAAGGTGAGTGTACCGGCACTGAGGGTCTGGGACGAGGCCACTTTGGCCTGGCCCTCGCCCCAAGGGGACCTTTCCCGTTTCCTCAGATGTCCCTGGAATTCACCAAAGTCAAACTCTTACGACTTCGAAACCCATGGGGCCGCGTGGAATGGAGTGGGGCATGGAGTGACAGGTGAGGGACATAGGAGAGACCCCACAGGCCCACGAAACTGCCAACCAGACCCGGGGCTGGGAAGCTACTCCCCCCACTCTTCATCTTCTGCCCTGTCTCCCACACAGCTGCCCCCGATGGGCTGCTCTCCCTGAAGAATGGCGCGATGCTCTGCTGGTGAAGAAGGAGGATGGAGAATTCTGGTGAGAGACAAGATCAACTCCCCAATCCCCACAACCATGCTGAGACTCCCTGATGCCAGCCTCCAGCCAGGGAATTCCTGCCTCCGGGGGTGACAGAGTTTGCATTCTTGGCAGTGATGGCTACGTTGGGGCTCTGAGGGGTCAGAGAACGCATTAGGAAGCTAGTGATGGCGTAGCGTGGGACAGAAGACCACAGGGAGACAATGAGGGGGAAGGAGTGGGGATAGTGAGGATGGAAAGAGAGAGGGAACAGGGATAGAAGGTACAGCCTGTGACGGGGAGAAGCAGAGAAGGGATGGTGAGGGCAGTGGGAGGAGACACTGGGAGAAGGGAGAAGAGTGGGGGGCCCAGAGGACAAATGGGGCGGGGGGAACAGAGAGCTTAGTGGGGACAGGAAGACACACCAGACCCGGGGAGGTCAGGGTGGCCCAGGGCAGTATCTTGGACGACCAGGGGCTAAGAGGTCGTGCGCTCTCTCCCTCCCAGGATGGAGCTGGGTGACTTCCTGAAGCACTTTGACACTGTCCAGATCTGTTCATTGAGCCCTGAGGTGCTGGGGCCTCAGCCCAAGGGGGGCGGCTGGCACGTCCACACCTTCCAAGGCCGCTGGGTGCGAGGCTTCAATGCTGGTGGGGGCCAGCCAGGCAGCGGTGAGGCCCCGAGTGTATGGGGAGGGGGGGATGGCCCATGGGACAGAGGAGGGCAGTCCGGGCTGGGAGAGACCAAGAGGCCGACCTCTCCCTTTCCCCCTGAAACAGAGACCTTTTGGACAAACCCCCAGTTCCAGCTGACGCTTCAGGACCCGGATGAGGAAGAAGCAGAGGACGATGAGGGGGGGCTGGGCGGTGGCTGGGGGACTCTAGGGGCCCGGTCTGGAAGGGGTGGCCGGCATCCCAAGTGCACCGTGCTGCTCTCCCTGGTCCAGAGGAATCGGAGGCGGCTTCGAGCCCGGGGCGTCACCTACCTCGCTGTTGGCTTTCACGTTTTCAGGGTGCGGGCAGAGAAGTTGGGGGAAGACAGAGGAGAGTGGGGAGGAGTCCCAGGGGCCTGGGAGGACTGAAGCAGGCAGAGAGAGAATTGGGGAGACATACGGAAAGAACTGGGAGGACGGAGAAGAAAGAAAAGGCTATGGGGAGGCAGGCACATAGCGGGAGACACTATGGAGTCTGGGGGGGAGAGGGAAGAGGGAAAGCTCAGGGCCTGAGGTCAGCCCTGACCCCATATCTGTTTTCTATCCTACAGATTCCTGAAGAGGTAACTGACACTGAAAATAAGCCTCTTGCCAGCAGGCCCCTCTCTGCAGGGATTTGGGGCAGGAACCCTTGGGGTGGGGTTGTATGGGGTGGCTTTGGGGAAGCCTCATGCTCCCTTATTCCCCCCTCCCCCAGCTCTTAGGCCTGCAGGACTCCCCCCGGCGCCGGGAGCTCCTGGCCGGCCTTCTCCGGGCCGACCGGTCCCCATTCAGCGTCCGCCGAGACGTCAGCCGCCGCTGCCGCCTGGCGCCAGGACATTACTTGGTCGTACCGAGCACCGCCCATGCCGGAGAGGAGTCTGACTTCACGCTCCGCATCTTCACAGAGCGCCAGCATGCCGCCACGTGAGGACCCAACCACCCCCCCCCCCACCCCCCATCATCCCCAGCCCTGGTCAGAAGTCCTGCGCTGACACTCAAGTCCAGACACCCCCGTGGGCTTGCACAGCCTCAAGTTCAATTTATATGTGATCTTGAACAAGTGTCATGACTCCTCTGAGCCTCCATCTCCTTATCTGTAAGATGAGTGGGGGTTGGCCAAGAGTTCTCTAAGGTCCCATATAACAATCTCATTTCAGTTCAAATATTCAGGCCCTCCCGTGGGTCAGCATGATGGTAAAGATCAGAATCACTAGACCCCAGGCCTGGAGCTGGAGGGTCTCAGAGGTCATCTGGCCCTCCCCCCACCCCCGCCCCCATTTAATAGGTCAGGATAACGACTTGCTCACCACCCACAGAGCTAGTTATCCAGCGCTTTTCCCCAGGCACGGTCTCTACCATCACACGTGTCAAAGAAGAACCAGAAAGAAGCCAAGCCGACCCAGATCAGAGGCCCCAGCTGTGACCCCTTCCCAAGCTGGGCGCTCCCCCTGACTCTCACCCCCCAACTAGGGGAAGTTGGGGCTCCTTGGGAAGGCTCGCCAAGTCCTCTCCCCTTCTTTCTCTCAGGGAAATAGACAACGCCGTCAGCGCCGACCTGCAGGTGCTCACGGTGAGACAAGGTCCAGGGCAGAGGAACGGTCAGGATGGTGTGGGGATGGCTTTGGTCAGTGACGGAGCGTTCTCTCCTTCAGACTCCCTCTGTACCACTGGAGTTTGAAATGGAACAGCTGTTTCAAGAACTGGCTGGAGAGGTGAGGGGGCCAAAGGGAGAAGGGAAAGCATTTCTAACGTGGAATAGAGTCAAAGGGAGAGACAGAGGGGAGAGGAGATGCGGGTTAACTTTTGGTGGAGAGGGGGAGGAGGTGACAGGAAGGGCTCAGGATGTCCCGGGACAAACGTCTGGAGGGGAGGGCAGGGCCACGTTGCGGCCCTCTGACTGAATCCAAAGTCTGGCCTCGAGGCTGCAGGTTCCCCTCCTGAACCCTCTCATTCTCCTCGTCTTCCTCTTTCCCTAGGAAGAAGAGATGGGTGCTGACCAGCTGCAGACATTACTCAGCATAGCTCTAGAGCCTGGAGATCGGGGTGAGTCCTGTCTAAGGCCATGGGAGAGTCAGGGGGTGGGTGGTGACCCGGAAAGAACACTGTGTCGGGTTGGAAGACCTGGGAGCAAACCCTGAACTGCTACATCCTGCCTGAATGACCTTGGGCAAGTCATAGCTGTAGAAACGCAGAGTAGGGGTTGGCTACCCTGCTAGAAAGGATTTTTGGAAAGAACAGGTTACGACTGATACAAAGAAGACACGAAGAAGGATGCAGAGGTGACTCCTACCCTGACTCAGGAGGTCGGCGGGAAGAAGATTGACCCAGAAGGGAAGGAAGATGGGGCAGCAGAAGTCAGGAAGAGGCTTCTTGCCTTCCCACAAGCAAGGTCAAACAGCAACAAAGAGGAAGGAGCCAAGCCGCAGCGACTGGTGACTTCCTGCTAAGGAGACCGAGGCAGTAGAAAAGCCTGCTGATCTTCCTCAGGCAGGGATCCAGGGCACAGAGCCTGGCTTTGCCGAACCTGAGGAACACCGTCCCCTCCTGGCAATTCTTGTGGGGGGCCCTAAGACAAAGGATCTCAGAAGTCACGGAGGGGATTACAAAGTCCTGGTCAAGAAACTGAAGACCTCAGGAAACACTACGTGGTTTAAGTCACTGTTGACTGACTTCTGAAGGTGAGAGTGTTAAAGTCTGATCAGGAACAGGAGTCCCCTTAAGAATGGATTTGGATTTCTGGACCACGGCTTAAAATACAAGGATGATGGATACTTGACCAGGGATGGAGTGCACCAACGATAAAGCAGATTTGCCTGGAGCAGGAGGCCTCAAACCGAAAACAGATGGAGGGGAAGACTGCCCACCTGTAGCTGACAAGTCAGATATCACAGGCAGTAACAAGTACCCGGTGGGAGTGGGGGCAGGGGAGGGGAAAGGGAATACATATAGAGCACCCCCCGTATGCCAGGCACTATGCTAAGCACTTTTCTGCCAATATCATCTCTGACGATCACAACGGCTCTGTGAGGCAAGCCTGTTCTAGCTACTGGGCAACCTAGGTGCCCCAGAATGCACAAGGGTCAGTGCCCAGTCTAATTAAAATGGTCTCGGTTCTGTATACATACACAGAGACATACGGGTGTCAGCCAGGGTGGAGAGACACAGGCTACATGCCACGGTAGTCAGGTGAAATGGTTGATGCCAACTTAGGAGACCCCAGTGGCATGTTCCAGTAAACCACCCTTGCCTTCTGGCTGTTCTTTGTTCTGGGAGAGAGGCAGAATGCTGCATGCCAGAAGACACCTCAGTGGGCAAGAATGGTGGGCTGCCTTGAACAAGATGAAACTTCGGGATCTGTGTCATCATGTGTGGAAGTACTGGATGGGGGAAGCCTGACTCGGCAATGTCTACGTAAAAAATGGGGTTTTACCGGGCTGAAAACCCAGCTGTATGGTAGGGCATGGCAATCCTACCGCTGAATATGGTCACCCGCCTGCTAGTACAAGCCTAGTGTTTAGAACAGGGAGGTGACAGCCACTACTATACTCCGCTGTTACCAGACGACTCAGCTAGGTGGCACACTTTACAAGGCCAGGCCTAGAATCAAGAAAACTCAAGTTCAAATCCTGCCTTAGACGCGTTCTAGTTGTATGACGTTGGGCAAGTCACTTAACTTGTCTGCACGTTTCATCTGTAAAATGGGGATAACAACAGCATCTTCCACAAAATGAGATATTTGTGAAGTGCTTAGCCCAATGCCAGGCACACAGCAGGCACTATATAAATGCTTGCTCCCTTCCCTTCCCCTATTATGTTCAGGGGTGAGTTTCACATCTTAGGAAGGGCAGACAGGATCATGAGCATGCCAACCCAATACTGTTAGAGCACTGTGGAGGGAACTGGGGATTCTTGTCCAGAGATCAGCCTCAAGGAGGGCATAAGAGCAATGCTCTAGGGAGAGGGGCTCTGACAGTTCTGCTCGACAAGAGGCAGAGGGTTTCAAGCGGCAAGACCAAACCAGCCACGAGGGACAATTTCTAGACGGCCCCAGAGTGCTGGGCGCTGCCTGGGGAGGGGGTGGAATCTCCCTTACTGGGAGAATGCACATTTATACAAAGCAAGCAACAGTGCAAGGGGAATTCTGCCAGATGAGACCTACGGACCCTCCCAGCTCAGATCCACTGAAGTCTGGATCAGCCGGTCTCCACAGTTCCTTCCAGTTCTAAATCCCAAGTCCCCCAGACCAACTTTGGTGGGGCACCAGAGACAGAATGTTGGCCTTGGGGCAAGCAGTGGACTCCCCAGACCCCTCAGAACCCTCTTTTCAGCTTAGGCTCTTCACAAGGCTCAGATGGTGGTGTAGTTTCCTAGGGTTCCACCAACGGGCCCCTCGTCCCTGTAAGACTTCCTTCAAACCAGAAAACAAGACCTGAAAATTAAGGCTTAGTGGGTCCTCTTTCAGCCAGCCCCTGGACTCACCCACCTGGAGAGATCGGGCTCCGGACGTGCGAACATCTGATACACTGTTTCGGAGTATCCTTACACAACTTCTTTTTACTGGGGAGGGAGGGGATGCTGCCAAGCAGCAGAGGGCTTTTTGGGGATGGGGGGAAGGATAACTGGTTCCCCCTCTCCACAATTCCCTGAACCATCCTGCAGCAAGGAGGGCACTGTTTGACACTGTCAGAGTTTCAGCAGCTGTGGTATCGATTTCAAGGGTGGCAGGTAAGATCAGTACTGAGGGAGCAGGGTGCCAGTCTTTTTGCGAATGGCATTAAGGGAGAGATCGACAAGTGGTAGAGGGACCATCTCAACCCCTGGCAGGCGGGGAGAGGGTGCTTTGCATCCTGGGGCAGAACGGCTGCGAGGTCTGATGGATAACCTCTTCTCCCACCAAGGCCACATTCAACAAGTTTGATGCTGACAAATCCGGGACCATGAATTCTCATGAGCTGAGGCTGGCACTCAATTCAGCAGGTACACGCAGGCTGATTTTGGGAGGCAGATGGCATCCCCTATCCTTGATGGAGATATCCTGGGCAGAGAACCCAATGAATCACTGGGTGAACCCAGGATAACAGCAAGGATCCTGGTGGAATCGATTCCTCCCCTCCTCCTGACCCCCTGGCATGGGGGACACTACGAGCGTTAATCCCAAACACATAACTACGACTTGGTCCATGAGGATTCCCAAGGACACCCTGGAGAAGTGAGCTTCCTTTGCTCATCTGGCAAGCTCATGGCATCCAGGCCAAGGTGTAGGGATATGGAACACCTGATCGATCCTGACTGGGGTAGGGGGCATCACACCTGACTGATCTCAGACCATGGGGAGCTCTAGACAGAGAGGCCCGACGACTCATCATTGCCAGTAATACCACAACCACCGCCTAACACTTGCACTACCAGCAACTCCTGTAGATGAAGACGAGGCCTAACCAAGTTGTGCCCGTCAAGCTCACAGAGCTGGGACTAGACTACGGGCCCCCAGACCCACTGTTAGCTCTCTTTGGATTCAATACTGAGAAGATTCGAAGTCTGTATAGTTTTGGGGGTCACAAAGAGCCTTCCTCTCACAAGGCTCAGTCACACAGGGACTCAGAGGCCAAGGCAAGGTTCACACCTAGGGCTCCCAATTTCATAGCTGTTTCTTTTTCCATCACGCACAGCTAAGATCTGATGTTGAGACTTTCAAACCTCCTTTTCCAGTTTCCATCCATGCTCATTTTAAGAATAACACCACCACTCATTCCCAGAGCATCGGACAGCCAGCTAGGCAGGCCGGCCAGTGCTGCTGACAAAGTTGGCTCTAAACCACACTGAAAAGATTGGGGATTTTGCTGCCTAGGGGTTCCTGAGAGGCCTGGGATCTGGCCCCCTCCCTGGGGAAGGAGGCTGGGGCTTCAGGGCTTTAACCCTCCTCTGCTGTGTGTGAGCCTGTCCTGTCTGGAGGCCAGAGGAGCCCCACGGGTAGCCAGGGCAGAACCCTGATGTTCTAATCAGTCATCCCCACCCTCCCATGTGTAACCACAGAACCTGGGTCAGGGACTTCTACAGGCCATGAGGGCAAGTTGCACTAAGCTGTCAGTTCAGTTGCAGGCACCTCCCAGGTTCCTTAAGCCATTCCTGGGGCCTCAGTTTCTTCAGGTCGTCGGCTAGAGGGAACAAACAGGAAACTGGCTAATTGGTAAGAAGGTTCTGTCTTCCTGACCCCACAGGCTTCCAGCTTAACAACCAGCTGACCCAGCTGCTCACCAGCCGATACCGTGACAGTCACCTTCGGGTTGACTTGGACCGCTTTGTGTCCTGTGTGGCCCAGCTCACCTGCCTCTTCCGTAAGTGAATCTGGGGTAACCCACAGTAGAAGAGTGGTGGAACTGGGGGACACGTGCGTGTGCGTGCATGCACACATACACTCACCCTCATCCTCACCTCTCCTGTGACAGGTCACTGCAGCCAGCATCTCAGTGACGGGGAAGGGCTCCTCTACATGACTAAGAGACAGGTGAGAAGGCCTGGGGTGGGGGAGAAGGGCATCTACATCCCTGAAGGGCCACCAGGGGCATTGGGCCTCACTCCTACCTGTTTCTCTTACAGTGGATGCAACTGGCCACTTTTTCCTAGAACCTTTTCTTCTTGGAAGGGGACAAAGCACAGTGAGAGAGGGGCCACGGCCTCCTTCGAGAATGGGAACCCAAAAGGAATGCCCCAGATTTGGACTTCCTCTCCCTTGTCAAAAGGACAACCAGGCAGGGAGGGAGTGGGAGGGCAGGCTGTAGCCAACAGTGTTACCCCGGACAAGTGTCCAGCCTTGGGGACTTTCTGAAATGCCCCAAGCTCTATGTGGCAAAGACACCGAGCTCTTGGTGAGCTGGCTCTAATTAATTTTCCTTTCCTTACAAACATTTCGGCCTCTGACCTGGAGTCTAAAACACTAAATAAACAGAAAAGAGAGACAGAAGTAGAGTGCATTTGGGAAATTGTTCTTAAAAATATTACACATTTTATTGTCCTGTTGGTTTTTCCAGAAAAAAATTAATGAGAATGAACGCCCAAAATAGAAAGAACAAAACCACAAACAGAAGCAGCCAGCCCAGCCTTTTTCTCCCCTAAGCCAGGCCCCCAGACCCTCCCATCAGGGGGAATCCCCAAAGACTAGTCCCTGACAAAAGACAACGAAGAGGGAAAACAATAAAGGGGTGAGGGAAGGGGAGAAGGGAAGGGCAGAGGGGAGTTAGGATAATCAGCTGATAGCTTAATTACAAGACCAAGAAAGACGGCAAATATATGTTGCTAGGTGAATATATATTTATATAATAAATCCGTAAGTTAATAAAGTAAATAGTAACTCTCTGAAAGTTTTTAATTATTTTAAAAGGTTTTTTTTGTGGGGGTTTAATTTTTTTAAATTTTTTTTAAATTTTTAAATTTTTTGGTCCTTAGAAAACTTGCTGAAGGAGAGTCCAGTCAAAGTGAGAGTGGGATGCCTAGCGAGGGACAGCCTGTGAAGCTGGGTCTGAGCATGAGGGCTGCCTCAACGCTCATGCCCATTTTCACGACCCGCAGCAGATGCCCCCTCCTCTGTGACTCCTCCTCCACCACCCCCAGCTCCTCTCAAGTTCAGCCCTCTCCAGCTGCTACTCCCCTAACTCCCAAACACCAATAAATGACCATGATCTGAGCTGCTCTAGTTGGCTTGCAATCTATCCCTCTTTATGCATCTTTATGGGGAAAAGAAGTAGGGGGAGGAGAGAGAAGAAGATGGAAAGAAACAAAAGAGCTTAGAGGAAGAGGAAGCTATGGGCAAGCCCTTCTCTGGAGATGCCCAATCTGCAGGGCCGTCACCAGTAAACCCATATTCTGAGGATTCTGGGTTGCCTCCCCATCCCTTTGTCCCATCCCAGAACTGGACCCAAACGGGTTCCTAGACAAGGCACGTGGTCTTTGGCCCTGAAGGGAACAAGCTGTAATAGGACTTTGTGGAGGAGGGAAAGAGTTTATCTGCTGGGATGACAAGGGGGAGATTGTGATTGTGTGTGTGTGTGTGTGTGTGTGTGTGTGTGTGTGTGTGTGTGTTTGGGGGGGGGAAGTGAGACATGTGCCAGGGGTGACCGTGAGGCTGAGGAGACATGCTATCCTGATGCTGTGTGGGCTTGGGGAGGGAGGCCAGTCTTCATTTCATGAGGGCTATCGCCTCAGCTTAGTTTAAAAAATATATATTATATATATTTATAACAGACCAGAATGATTTACTCTAAACTCCCCCTTCACCATTACCCCTGCCCCAGGCTGGGGAACTCCCTGGCCAGTCAACTAAGAGAGAGGAGAGATCCTGCCCCATCCCCCCCTCCCACAAAAAGGAAGGAAAGAGAGAGAAAGAGAGAGAGTGCACTTTGCATAGATACCTGGTCAGGTCAGAGAAAACTGGACTATAGCAAGCCGCCCCCGGAGGGAGAAGGGGGCTTGGGGCTCCCCCGCCCTCCCCAGAGATGGAGGTCGGGGTCGCTGTGTCTCCTCAGTGAGGGGGAGCAGGTGGCTCACAGGTCACTCTCGCCATACAGGGCTGTGGAGAAGGATTTGTAGTCCAAGGCTCCAGGAGCAGCATCTGGGCCCTGGTAAGGAGCCATGCGGGCAATGCAGTACTCCGCCTGGTCTGGGGGCAGCTCCCGCCGAAGTTCCTCAGCTGTGATGAAGTTCTGGCAGGAATAGGAAAACCTGAGCGGGGTGCCCTGGGACTGCTTTCCAGTCCCTATGCCCTGACTCTCACAGAGTTAACTTCCAGAAAAAGGAACAGACGAGCCTGTTGGAACCTCCGTCAATCCACCATTAAGGATGTCCATTAGACCCTTCGGGACCTCGCTTGTGTTTCACAGTCAGCCTATTTGTTTCTCACATTAATTTCTACTGTGTCCAGATGGCCTAAGACTCAGCTGAAAGCACTTTCTCTTCTATATACCAAGAGAGAAGCTTAATTCAACTCTCTCACAAACGTGGAGATCAAGCCTGTATTCCTGCTTTCCGTACCTTTCATAACTTTATATCCTGTGCCCTTCTGCAAGCTTCTGACTAAAGAAGCTGTCTTTTCAGTCTGCCTTCAGATGGCTTCCATCTTTTCCCATGACCTCTAAGAGACAGTGTGGAAAAGAACCCCAGACAGGAACCAAGAGGCCTAAGTCCACCCATTACATGGTGCATGATCTCATGCAGAGCAAATGATTTCTCTGAGACCCCTTGTAGCTCTGATCCCTATGCTCCCACCTCTGCAGGATCTTCTGTTCTAGGACTGTGGGATCGAGGCTATCTGAATCAGCTCCTCTGACGCCCTGGTGCTCCCAAGCACCAACCACCTCACCTTATCTCCAGCGAGGACCTTGAAGGAAGCAATGACTTGGTCAGCTGTGTCTGTATCAGTGGTCTCTCGGGACATGAAGTCAATAAAGGCCTGGAATGTCACAATGCCACTATTGTTGGGGTCCACAACGCTCATGATGCGGTTGAATTCAGCATCACCCTGTAGGGGCATGGGAAGAGAAGGGAGGTGTTGTTACTGCGGTGTTCAGGGGTCTTTCCTCCCTGACTAAGGAGAGGAGCAATCCCTTGGTGGGCCTAATGCACCCTCTATCTCCTATCGCAGGACTCCACCAGGCAGCTAGCCAAGTGAGCTCAGCTCCCATGCTCAAGTGAGCTCTTTAAAGGATCAAAGACCTTGGTTCTTTACTGACAGTTTGGCATCATCCTCTTTTTTTCAGGAGCCTAGAACCCCTGCTTAAACTTAAGAGTTCCCTAAAGTTCTCCTTGTCTCTTCAATGGTACCTAGGCACAGGGTTAGGCATGTTCAGCATCTACTGAGGAGTTGGCTACCCATTTTCAGGCTAAGTCTGGAGGAGCCACTGGATGTCAGTCGTCCGACAAGTATGCATGTCACCCCCAAACCAGGGAAGAAGGGAGAAAACCAACTCTTCCCCCTCTGTACTCTGGGGGATCTGCTGTCCATGTTTGCTAGATCTGTCCCACCCCAAACCTCAAAATGACTAGTCACTCAAACCTAGGCCACTAGCCAACTCTGCCCATAGGTATCAAAGAAGGTGAAGGTAAAGGTAAAAAGATAAAACGGGAAGGGGGTACAGTGAACAGAAACAGAGGGAGAAAAAGACTTCCTCTGTCTTGGGTTTGGCAAAGCCAAGAGCGCAGGGATGCTGGGAGTGAAAGTAGAAGAGACTTTGAGCATGTCAGCAAGGGGCAGCAGGGGTGATGGGAACAGAGGACACAACCCTGGCAGCCGAAGGCAGTGTGGCCCTCCCACCTGGCTGTGTCAGAGGCCGAGAGAAGATAGGAACGTTCTGTTCCTTTCCAAGGGAGCTGGCAAGTTTGGAGGAGGAGAAGGAGAGGCTGAAAAGAGCGCATAGCGTACCAGGCTGTATCCTGTGGAGATAAGCAGAGCTCGGAAGTCATCAGCGTCCATGCTGCCAGTTTGCTTCTGCTCCGAGGGAAGGACGGTGGAAGGAGAGGCCCCAGAACGGGGGATGAAGGGAAGGAGACGGCACATGCAAGAGGTGGAGGATGAAAAGAAGGAGAGAGAGGCACAGGGATGGATGAACAGACAGAGAAGGCCAAGAAAACTCAAGGTAAGAGAAAAGGATGAGAAGAGCAGAGGCCAGTGAGGATGATTTAAATGGTGAATGGGAAAGGAAGGCAGTGGAGTGGGAGAAAGGGGGAGAGAGAGAGAGGCAGTTAATTAAACCATTGGGTGGGCAGTCCCAGCAGGGCATTCATACCTGTCGGTCATTTTCCACATCGTAGCCCAGGCTGATGAGGCATGCTTTGAACTCCTCAGGCCCCAGGGCCCCGCCGTGATCCTGCCGAACCATCCAGGGGGGCACAGTCCAGACCCCACCGAGCAGGAGGGGAAGAGGGATGGGTATGGAAACCGAGGCCGGAGACAGGGAGAAGGAGCCACGAGGCCACATGCAGGGTTGGGGAAGGGGAAGAGGGACACATGGGAAAGCAGACAGGAGGGAAATACATCATTAGAGGGTAACACAGACACAGTGACCTAGGGAAAAGGGAAGGGGTGTGGGAGTAGAGAAGGCATGAGCTTGTCCAGCCAGACTCCCGAGAGAAGAGGAGCTTGCAGCCAGCTCCTCTGACATAATTTTCTGGCTCAGCCTCATCTTCTCTTCCTCTTAGTTGGGTGACCTTGATAACAGTGGAAGGCAGACTTCCCTGCTGCGTTAGGTAACGGGCAATAAGAGAGGTGAGGAACAGAGGAGGTCTCGGTGGGGGCAAGCTTTGCTCCTCAGGGTATGCTCTCCTCTTGACCAGGCCATGGAATGGTTTTACTATAGCCATCTACACAGAACTGATCTTCTGGCCTTGAGACAGGCTTGGGAACTGTTACTGCTCGTGACCTTTCTCATAACACCTTGTATGAGTACTACTGCTGTGTTTGTGTAGCTGTCTTCTCTGGCCCGCCAGACTCAGACTGTAAGCTCAATGAAGGTGGGCACCATGGCTGTACATCTCTCTAGTCTCCTAGCCTGCCTCTCTCCACCCAAAAATGCTGCAGAGGTTTGGCCAGTAAGTGCTAAATCAATGAACGAACGAACGAATGAATGGATGAAGGTGGGAGTCAGGGAAGGAGGGGAAGAGGACACCAGGAAGGGTTCTCGATGATGTGGGCAATGCCAAACAACCTGGTTTGGGAAGGATATAGGTGGGAACTGGCACAGAGGGGAGCAGGTCGGAGTTCACTCACTTTGTCAAAGTGGTTGAATGATGCCCGGAACTCCTGCATCTGCTCCTGACTGATGCCTTTGGCATCCCGGGTCAGGATCTGGTTCTCTACCTCATTGATGGTTCTGGCAATGGTGGTGAGGAGCTGTTCCCAGCCCACACGGATATGCTACAAGGGGGGGGGGCAAACATGAGGACTGGCTGTTCCCCTGCACAGGGTGGTCATGCCAGGTCCCAAGGCCCGCTGCAGCGGCATCCCTACCTCCATAGTGTAGTTGGTGTGTTTGTTGTCAAAGATGAGGGCCTCCTGGATGAGCTGGTGCTGCTGCTCGAGGAGGTCCAGGTTAGGCTTATACTCCACAATGCTCTGCTCATACTGCTTCAGGTGGTTCAGCTGGTCCTCCAAGGTACCGTTCATCTCAATGGAAATACGCCCAATTTCCTGGGTCAAGAAAAGGACAGAGAGCCCCAGATCGTGGGAGCTTCTTCCTCCCCCAATGATGCTCCCACCTAGGACAGAGAGCCCCTTTCTAAAGGCTTCAATCTTACATCCCACAGCATCTCAACAGGAACCTGGCCTTCCAGCTCTGAGGGTCCCTTTTTATCATCACGCCCACCACCCTGCACCAATATCAATGACATGCCACCTTTGTGCTTCGGCTCAGGCCCCA